ATCAATATTACAGTAAATTAAAATTGAACGAATTCAAAAATATATTTTTTATATACCGATCATGCCGAAAAAATTACTGGCCGAAAATTTTTTTCGGCTAATTTTTTATAGGTTCCCAGGAATAATGAAAACAGCTGTAAAAAAAAAAATTCAATAACATACTATAGTGAAATAATCAAGAAAATCTCGCCGGAAATTTGTAAATTTCGGCCGGAGTTATGGTATTGGCCCGAATTATCACGCGCGGGATTCCGCGTGATGTCCATCACTAATTACCACTATACTACAGATTCAAGAGTTTTTGGAGATCTCTAAGATTCTCAGGATTCCCGAGATTTTAAGGATTATACAATCTTGGAACTACAGCAACATCCGGATTGGCATGGAACTGGGACAGTTAGTGATGGATCAGTCCTGAAAAGACTGAATAAGGATCGGTCTTTTTAACCATTCTTACGGTTATTCGATCCTCATTCTTGGACTAGTTTGGACCAATTTTCATGAAAGTTAATTAAAACAGATAATTAAAGATATTATAGTCGCTGCTTAATTTTGATCAAAGCTTGAGTATCGTTTTGATTAATATGAAACTTGCAAATTCACAACTTTCAAAGGAGAAATAATTAAGATTTTTTATTTATTTATTCGAGTTATTCAAGGAGTTATTTGGTCATAGTAAGATGTATTTACATTTAAGATCGATTTTTTAAATGAGACATAGCTTGGATTCAAAATCTTCAACATTTATTATTTTTTAAATACGATAATACAAAATTTTTAATTTACATATACGTGGTTTTAGGAATTTGCTAAATCGATATTTATTATTGATTCTATAATTAAGTCTATATTTTAATATTTTAAAATTTTTTTGACCTTTGCAGTAAAGTAAATTTTGTTATATTTAATTTTAAATTTTTTAAAACATAATATAATAATAACTTTTAGAAATACAATAAGGATTTCATCTTTCGACAAGACATACAAGAATTATGTAAAATGAATAGCCCCTTTTTTAGAAAATATGATATTCAAAAAGAAAATTTCATATAATATTACTAATATACTTATTATCGGTGAATGCTTTGCTGATTTTGGTGACGATACTAGATGGGTTAATAAAATGATTAGATGTTTTAAATAGTTAAGAACAGTTTAGGAGATCGAGACTAGATTGAAAACATTAATGGACCGTTCTTGTTAGGGGCCGGGATGGACTGGTCCAATTTTAACGTGAAACTACAATGCTTTTACCAAGCCAATTAGCACGAGTAACTAAACAAATTCATGGTCTTCTTTTCAATATAAATTTTATTGGAAGGGAACTTGGTAGTAGTTAGAATATGAACATGTCTATGCAATCAAAGCAACAGCATATAGTAAGTTTGTAAATAACTTTCTTTGTAAGACACTCCATCTATATAGTAGTTTGGTCAGTGAAATTCTGAGATATTGTGCTTTTATTGTAATTGTTTTTAAAAAAGGTGAGGCAGTTTCAAACTATTATATCTTGAGAAAACTGCATAAATTTTTTGATTTTCTTGATTCATAAGTAAAAAAAAAAACAAATTGAGCGGGATATAAAAAGGTCCTGTTCAGGGACTTATCAAACACCCGGTATATTTATTAGTTGCGCCAATAAAATTTTTAATAAAATATGTGCTTTATCATTATCATTTCATATAGTCAATGATCAACATTATTTTATTAAAAAATACGAATATTTATTTAACTTTCATTCTGATCTTTGTTTCTGATTATGCACGATGACGTAGCGCGGTCATCTAGTTATTTAAATTGTAAGCAATCGTATACACTTAAAGCTCTAAACGATGAGACAAAAATTTTCTCAGCCGGGGTCATGCGTAACCTATGTTAGGTTCAAAAGCGGAGTGACGGAGTTCCGGGAAACCGGAAAATCTAAACTATTACTATTAATCAAACTTCAAAAACCACCTCGGACAATCTCCGCGGTCTACACCATTTTAGAACTATTGAACAAGGCTTTGGGTAGGATTCTAGCAATAATCTTTGTGATAACTTACGTATTTTATTAGTGATTCTCTTTTAACATTTATAGATAGTTTAGAAAAGACTTATTTGCGAGTTGGAAATTTAATTTCTCTGATGCTTTATTATAAACAAATAAATTATTTACATCTTTAATTTCTACAATCTGTATATTCAAAAATGTGTACCAGGTTGTGCTCCGGATGATAATGTGATTGTCCGGAAATCAATCCAAACGATTAAATAAATTACCTTCATATTTCACTTCATATTTCGCTTCATAGTTTGCTTTATAGTTCGCTTCATACTACACTTTATATTTCGTTTCATACTTTGCTTTATATTTCACTTCATACTGTGCTTTATATTTCGTTTCATGCTTTGCTTTATATTTCGCTTCATATTTCGCCTCATTTTTCTTTATACTTCGCTTTACTTTGCTTTATATTCGCATCATACTCTGCTTTATATTTCGTTTCATACTTTGTTTTATATTTGCTCCATATTTCGCTTCACATTTCGCTTCATATAAAAAAACAATAATAATAAAAATAATGCAAACTGATTCGTTTAACTTGTCTAATTTACCTACTCCATTTCAAAAATACTTCTATCTAATAATTCTTTTAATATAAATAATTATATTTAACTTGAGCCAATGGTTAAACCTGAAAAATAAATATTGGACAGCTTAATGTGGATTTATACGTGGATCTTAACAGCTAGAAGATGCCTTAATTGGTCAAGCAAATTTAAGGAAATATCAAAGATCACTATGCGGCTAAGAAAAAAACCGAATTTTTATCATCGGGCAAACTGGCTGCTTATCTCTATCAACGAAATTTTACCGTAAAAACTGAATAAATAGGAAGTGGAGCAAAAATTCGAGTACTATCAGCATCAATCCAATGAAAAAAGCATAAAATTTCTCAAGAAAATGTCGACCCAACTATACAGGTTTTTTCGACCTATTTCGTTTTTAACCAATCAAATTCGTGTTTTAATCAAATTAGTATATTTTGATCTATC